AGGATCTAAGCTTGACATTTCTCCAGATTAAATGTTGTCTATTAACAAGCTAAAATGAGAAAATTGCATTGTAGTAAAACTGTTAAATAACTTCAGGACGCTGGTATATTAATGATGCAACTTGTTTAACAGCAGGATGACCCAGATAATGGCTGCACATTGGGCTAACGATAACATTGTTCTCTATACCTTAAGTGCAGTGTTGGGGAGTAACGGAATACATGTACCGCCGTTACGTATTTAAAATACAAAATATGAGTAACTGTATTCCGTTACAGTTACCGTTTAAAAAGGTGGTATTCAGAATACAGTTACTTTGTTGAAATAAATGGATTACACTGCGGTACTTTCCTGTTTCATTTTGTCGCGGGTCAGGACTGTTTGGGTTTTGTTTGACAGCTACGTTCTGTCGTTCCAGGCGGCAGCGTTACGGTTGCCATGGTTACAGGGCGACGCTCTCTCTCTCTCTGCGACTGTGTGTTTCCTGGGTGAGAGAGCGCCTTTTCGTTGTTGTTGTTGTTGTGCTAAGCTAACAGACAGAATGCTACAAGCATAGCTCTAAAGAATGTAGCATCATGGGCAGTGTAGTCCGTGTTGCAGGGAGAATGGACTGCCATACACGTTATGTGTCTGTGAGCGCGAGGAGGGAGAAAAAGGGGAGTGGAAAGGTACGAGTTGCCATCGAGGAAAAACGGGAGCTGGAAGCATGTAAATATAATAATAACCACTGCAGCCAAGAAGAGTGCCTGACGAGCCCAGTTGTAAGTAAGCTATTAAGACTCGACTGTACACCGTGTTCGTGTTTTCCTCCGAAAACAATAAGTTCCGTTGGAGCAGCCTTTCAACGCCTCTCTCTGTCTCTAGCAAGAAAAGTTGACCCACACAACAAAGTAAAGCTATTTTTCGGCTACGAGCCGACAGGGACCCCGCCGTATTAGTCAGAGGTCCCTTTACTACAGTTCGGAGTCGCGGACCTTCAGTAATAGTAATAAATCACACAGCAATAGTACATTCACGTTGTTGTAAAAAGCATGATAATATATTAAGTAATCTAAAGTATTCAGAATACGTTACTGTCATTGAGTAACGTAACGGAATACGTTACACAATACATTTTGGGGCATGTATTCTGTACTCTGTAATGGAATACATTTTAAAAGTAACCTTCCCAACACTGCTTAAGTGTTACTAAAATTGTGACTTGTTCAGACTTCCTGTTTTACTGCATGTACTGTGGGAAGCCTCTACTCTGCTTCAGCGTGTGTGAAAAGTCAGTTTTGAGCTGATGCATTTTGATCTTACATGAGATGTTGAAGAAATCTAAAGACATTAGAGGTTGTTAGTGCTTAGAGACATTGTGTCCTGTTCTCATCCAGTCCGGTCACGAAAAAGGAATTTATTTCCTGTGTGTGGTTTCACAATTGTCACGTTTTTGTCTCGTCTGTGCACATGAACACAATTAACCTTTTAGACATTTCCAGGCCTCAGGGCTGAAGCAGCAGGAATGAAATGAGCAGGTTCGGCTGCTTGTACGTAGAAGAATCCCAGATATCTGACATTTAAATGGACGCTGTCACATTTTTCACATTTTGCCGGTTGTGAAGGAATGCAGTAATGCTGAACGTTCAGCTGAGCATTAAACGTACAGATGCAGCAGAGTCAGAACAGAGAGCAGCGTAGGAAAACAAAAACACAGGAGTGAATTCAATGTGAAAGTTGCATTTAAAGTCACAGGATGCTAAAACGAATGCCTTTATTTCTGGAGACCTTAACAGAAACAAAAGCATTCATTTGTTGTGTTGAACTTGATTTCTTACCTAAATCCAGAATTTTACTTGTATATGTGATTGTGAATTACCCACCACCGTAATAAAGACCTTACAGATACACATGTGCCTCAGGCTTTTGCTAAAAGGCAACATATTTGAAGGTCATTCATGAATGCGACCCACTTACTCCATGCAGAAATAGTAACAGGCTGTGGTTTGCCCCAGAGCTAACGGCAGCATTTAAACAATGCATGATTTTATTTTGACCTACTCTTAATAAAACAACAATGATAACAACAACTGTCTTGTATTAATTGATTTATGGTGGATTTAGAAAGTTTAAATGATTGTATTTTCTCAGTATCCAGGGCAGGATAATGACAATGCACACATTTCAAGCTAGGATTGCAAGGAGTAAATATATATATACAAAATATGTTTTTATGTATTAATGATTATAGGCTCCAGTTTCTGTGACCCTGAAGTGGTAAAGCAGAAGAAAACAGATGGGAATAATTTTATTCAATAATCCAATCATCAGAGGCATGTTTATGAATTGTAGTGCACACATAAATCAGCTGCCATAAGCGTTTTTCTTTAACAAAGCAGTTAATAGGTGGTATCAGATCTGACCGCAGGCTTGGTTCCTCCGGTTGCAGTCCAGCTCTGGTACCCCTTCATCAAACCCACATGAGCCTCATTAGCATTAGCTGATCAGGGCAGCAGCGAGGGAGCATGTGAGGTATGTTAGCAGTCATGAGACTGGACGTGGAGCTTCAATTAAAAGGGAAGTGACTGACGAGCTGCTGCTCGTTAAACTCCCACATCTCTTGAGTCTTGACTTGATGGACTTCAGGTGGACAAGATTTAACTTAAACAGTTTAAACGTGTTTCTAATCGTGCTGCAATGTGAAAGCATATAACAAAAAAATCTGTTACATGTTAATTTATACACAAGATGTTGGAAGCTCATTAGCCAATGACACCTAAGTGCTGTAATAAGAAAAATATTCAACCAGTAGGCATATGTGGTTATTTCTTATGTTATAGTGTACACTTGTGCATTCTACACTTTTTTTTATTAATACATATGTAAAGCCTTGTTCAGGTATGAATTCAATAATACTGATAGTTTGAAAATATTATACAAAATTATCTCTCTATAAAACATATTTGTCTCTTTAACATTAATGATCCTCACACCCATTGACGGAGACAGTCATTAAAAAATAGAACGTACAGACACACTCAAACACATTAAGCTAAGAGGTGGTGTGCCACCAACTGCCTCTAGCTATGTAACAAGGAGCGAGTCCATGCAAGAGGTTCACTTAAGTACAAGATAATTATGTAAACATAAACTAACAAAGCTGAAACACTGAAGCACGCTGATGCCAGGTGAAGTCAAAGAACGAGGCTGAGCAGTACTGCTCGACCAACTTTTGCACCTTGGAAGGCCGAGATGATATGCAAGACCTTCACATCAGGCCAGGACTTTTTTTAGAGACATTGGGAGGGGGATCAGTAAGACGTTTAAAAAACTACATACCAAAGTCAGGAAAAAAAAACCTTATCCACATATAATTGATAAAGAAACCCTGTTTGCAAAAAGGGATTTACAAAAATAAAACAAGATCTAAGAAAAACTCAAGTATATCTCTATATACATACAAATGCAGTTAAAATTCATCCAATTACCATAGAAAGGGAACCTCACATTTATGCTGACATTTTAAATTATTAGGTCACAGCTCGTCTGTACAACTGTTTTCTAAAACAATGATGTGTTCCTCACAATATCCAAATGATGCAATCAAATCTTTCAGGAGAAGCACAGGTTTGACAAAGCCTGGAGATCTGATGATTTCTGCCATTAGCACGGACGAGTTTTCCTAATATTGTCTTGTTACTATAGTGACTATATTTCAGGAGTTTCTTAGAGACACCACATCCCAAATGTAATGGGAATACCTCCTTTAATTAAACAGATAAGAGAATTATTGCTCTCAGGTAACTAACCTGTCTATGGACTAAGTAGCTTAATTAGCTTCCTAAGTGATCCTGTCTCTATGAAAGGTGGATTTTACTCTTGGGATAGCAGCACAAACGAAAGATTTTGGATGGGGAAACACTGAAGTGCTCGTGTACTGGGTTAACAGCCTAAATGCTAAAAAACATTGCTGACATATACCAGGTAAGCAATTTTCAGTGAATCAGATGAATACCATCTTTCGGTATTTAATTCATTATGTTCATGATTTTAATGCTGGAAGACTTAAATAAGAAGAGTATACATTTTTCTATTGATAAAAAAAATATCATCTTGCTAATCCAGCCTATAGAAAATTACCTAAAATCCAGCTGCATGTTATGTGCTATGAAAGAAAATCTCAAAGTAGATAATTCCAGGCTCGGTGCCAGCTTCTTGAACAGGCTGTACCACACAGAAAGCCATTTTATTAGCCTGATAATTCCATTAAAAATGCTCCGAAAGGGAACCAAGAGACTATGTCAGCTTGCTTGTCTATTATAGCAGCCAAAAAATATTTACAGTCCTTCTTAAAGGCTTTCAAATTTATGGATGCTTGATATGTTTTTTTCTACAAGACTGTAAAAATGTGAATTTCATAGCTGAAGTTCGATTTTTTTTTAGCACGGGAGTCTACTGGCTATTAGAGGAACTGCAGTTTGTGGCTACACCGTTGGGTTAGTTTTCTTTAGTCCCAGAGTTTGCAGCTTGGACAGAGTATCTGAGGATCTGATAGGTGAAGTTATTTTGGCAAATTTGACCTAACATTAGAACATATGATTCTTTCATGTTTGGGTTTAAAGAACCCAAACCCTTTTATATCATCAAACACTTGTTAGAAAGCTCAACTTTCTAGGATACAGTTTTAGAGCGATTTCTTGAAGATGATTTTTTTAGACATGGCCAATGAATTCAGGGAGGTAAGGCAAAAACAAAGTAATAGGTAGTTTCAACATGCTTGAAAGTTTTTAATAACCACATTGTTGGTGCAAAACTATTTATCTTTGCTATCTTTGGCTTTTTTTTTTAATAAAAACATCAGGAATTACAGTAACTCTAATGTGAAACAGCTGACTTCAAAAGGGGGGGGGGGGGTCTGCTTACATAACAAACAAAAAAAACTTTACGTATCCACACACACATTCACTACTACAACACGGCTGCAATTGGCTGCTACTGCCAATCAGGAGCATGTGACTATGTGAATATGTAGGCTGGTCGACATCAACCGGCTGCACTCGCACCGTCTCTTCGTCCCACACACACACACGCACACACACATACACACACAGACACACAAACACACAAACTAACAGTAACGGAGGCTGCTCCATCATGCACAGCAAAGAGCACATCAGGTAAGAAACTTTTTTTGTTGTGTATTATAGGTAATAATATTGTGTTTTTCTTGATACAGTGCCATTAGGTAACTAAATCGTGGTTTCTAAACTTTTTGTGTGAGGACAGTGTTGTGTTATTGTATGTTTGTGATTTCGTTTTCTGAGGCCTGAAATGTAAATTTACATTTTCACTGATTTATGTGAAGAAAATCAAAGAGAAAAATTATTATATTTTTCAGCCTGCTTAGCTGTTAATCAGCTTTCAGCATCTTATTAGGCTCATGAGCTACAACTTGGTAGACCTGGTAACATGTTATATAATGGTCCACAATTCATAGTCATTTAGTTTAGTGAATATTGAGTCATTTATTTAAAAAAAAAAATACACACACACACAACTACTACAGCCTTAAAATTGAAGAGAGAAGAAGAGTTGAAAGGATCAAGTCTATGGAGAAATAATAAGTTATTTTAAATATATTTTTAAGGTCCTTTACTGACTTATTTAACAGGTAAAGTGTACATTAAGAAATAAAGATTAAAAGACAGCAAAGATGTAGCTTAATTTTCATTTGCTTTCCTTGGTGAGTTTTTTAAATCGTACTTTTTTTCTCAAGCGAATTTAATTGAACTGCTGCTGGAGTGTTTTTAATTCCTCCTTCATCTGACACAGAGGTCTTTCAAAATACTGTAGCTTTGGAGAATGGCTATGGATAATTAATGGAAGTTGACCACCTAACACTTTGTCTAACATCAGTCACAAAGATGGAAAATCTTTACCAGCTCATACCACAATAGTGTTCAAGTTCTTCATTTTATCTTATGTGATTTATTGAGCTCTTCATTCATAACTGAATTCTTTCTTTTGGTCATTTTTATAATCTTTTCAATCCATTTTCTTTCTCATCCTTTGGCTGCTGTAACAAATAAATGTTCCCAATTTTGAGATAAATAAAATATTTACTCATATATGCTGACTTCATTATTTCAAACTTTTGCTAGGAGCATCCTCTGTTGTTTATATCTATATGAGAAAAGGCCCAAAAGTGATTTTGTTTTTGTTCATTTGTTTTCTTTATTTTGATTAAAACTTGTAAAAACATGTTGTGAACTGAAAATTGACATATTGTGAAGTCTGTGTAGGTTCTAAGTCTTCCAGGTAATGATAGTTGAGAGGCAAAATATCTTCAAAAACCTAAAGACGTCAGGTTGTCTTCTTTTTAAGCTCTCAAGAAATATTGTGAAATTGTTGGCAAACAGTTGCTTAATGTCAGTCACTTGGAGTCGTGTTTTTCTCCATCTGAGAAATACAAACAGTCTCTGTTTGTGGCCTGCATATTTCCCTGAGAGACGTAGCTGCCTTTTTATCTGCTGTGCGAACTGTTTTTACACAAGTTGACTCCATCTGTTGTTGGGGACTGAGAAAGTGGTGAGAAGTGAGTTAAAAAAAAAACAGCTTCCTGCTCCAACTCAAAATGCTGCCGGGCAGCAAGGGTAAACAGAAACAGTAAAGGTGCAGGACAGGCGGCCACAAACTGAACTCAAACTCATATCAGGTCTTTCAGTGAACTTGGAAAATAATTCCCTCCAATTTCATTATTATTTGTGACCCATATTTTATTTCCCTTCAACATTGAAGTAATTTGTTAAATACTTTATACAGTGAGGCAGTGGTCTTGCAAAACATGAACATAAAAGGCCAGACTTAGTCCAAAGTAAGCTTTATGTTATGGACCTGATCCAAAATGTATTGAGCCTACACAGATCCCAGCGGAGAGGAAACAGCAACAGCAACAGCAAGATGAGGTGAATCATGATGATGTTGCAAAATAATATTTATTCTTTCTTTTTTGTGTCCGTAGTCATGACGAATACCAGAAGACAGCTGACTGGCTGATGTCCCAAACAAAGCACCGACCCCAGGTAGCAATCATCTGTGGATCCGGACTGGGCATGCTCGCTGACACACTGAAGTGTCAAGACTCCTTTGCTTATTCTGACATCCCAGGCTTCCCTCAGAGCACAGGTACACTGAATATTCAGGTTAATGACTGATAAATATGCTACATTATTCTGTTTAAAAGAACTGGTTCCCATATCTTCTAAATATTAATCATGTTAACATGGGATTCAAGGCAGTTTGAAGTTACTATTTGCACATATTGAACAAAACAAACTAACTAAAATATGTGGAAATATATATGTTAGGAGGTTAATTTATTTTTATGGGAGAAACATCTCCTCACTCATCCAAGTGACTTCTTCAGTCTTATAAACATTACATTTGCATAATGACTCACACTAGCACCACTGACTAAGAATGCACTGTGAGGTCAGTTTCATGGTCATTAAAATGCGAATTATCATAGCCATTGATCAATGGTCATTGATCATATTCTTAATATAACATATTAAGAATATGTTATATTGTTTTATAGGTTCTTTTTTTAATTAAATTGATATGTGGGATTACAAATATCAGACTGTCGAACAGCAACTTTTTGTAAGTTCACCTGCTGATTTATAGAAAATAAATCCTAAAATTAACCAAGACAAGCAGTTAAATGGTTAAAACCATTTTAATATGAACAAGGAAAGAATGCATGAACTGCCTATATGAAATATATATATGAAGCATAGTTACATCAGAAGTTCCTGTATGTATGTGTTTGTGTTTGCAGTCCAGGGTCATGCAGGTCGGCTTGTTTTTGGGGAACTGAAGGGGAAGACATGCGTGTGCATGCAGGGTCGCTTCCACATGTATGAAGGACACTCTCTCTGCAAGGTACATGCACGCAAATGCACTGATCCTCGCTGAAATAATGCATTCCCTTCTGACCTCATGAATCTGATTCAAACCAGAACCCCAAAACTCCCTCAATTCCATGACAGCTCTGTGAAGACGTGTGAACCAAGCCAACCAAACCAACAATTCATAAGTTAACATTTTCTTAAAGATCAAACCACAAATTATAAAACTCTTAAAAAAAAACTTCTGAAAAGAGAAACAGATTTTTACAGACTGCACGTAATAAGGTTCACATACACCAGGCGCACACACACACACACACACACACACACACACACACTTACACATGCACACACACACACACTCATAGTGAGCTGATTAAAAAAGCTTAGTCATGCACACATGTAACTGTAATCAGCAGCATGAGACTGAACTTGTAGTGTGTGTGTGTGTGTGTGTGTGTGTGTGTGTGTGTGTGTGTGTGTGTGTGTGTGTGTGCGTGCATACACCCGCATGTGAGAAGCCGGCCCAAGTCATGCATGGGTTTGGTCACATGCAGCCTTTTAGCTGTTCAATGGTGTCATTGTTTCCCTCTATAACCCAGACACACATACACACACACCCACTCTCTTTTTTATAATATTGAAAATAATGACACTCCTGTAAATGGAACTCTGTCTAAGCTGCTTCTCAATAAACACATTTCACTCCTGGGCACCATTACTAGATAACCATCTGCAATGAAGCTCACTAAAAGCTAGAGGCCTGTGTGCGAGTTACAGCTTCACAGGAGGCTTCTGTGTTTGTCAATTCATTACTGAGGCTCCAACTTCCTGTCTGTCCATCAGACGACCTTCCCCATTCGAGTTTTCAAGCTGCTCGGAGTGGAGACCCTGATTGTCACAAATGCTGCTGGCTCACTGGCCGATGGCTTCCAGACTGGAGACATCATGATCATCAAAGACCACATCAACTTTCCCGGATTGGTCGGTCTGAACCCGCTGTGTGGGCCCAACGATGAGAAGTAATTACATGGATGGCTATGTATTGTTGCGACCGTTTTAAAGGTCTTTTTGTGTCTACTGCTCTTTACTGTTGTTGTGAAATTTGTTTTAGGCCCTTGCCTGACCACTATCAGCATGTGAGTGTGTGTGACTGTTAGACAGAAAGCATTTAAGCATAGAAAAAAGTGCTTGTGTGAATGGGTGTCAGGGGGTGAATGAGGTTTAGGTAGTGAAGCGCTATATAAGAGCGAGTCCATTTTCATATTATTTTTTGTTTGCAGGTTTGGTCCTCGCTTCCCAGCCATGTCTGGTTGCTATGACAAAGGTCTACGTTGCCTTGCTATGGAGATCGCCAAAGAGCTGGGTGTGGCCAGTGTTCTGCAGGAAGGCGTGTACGCCATGGTGGGTGGCCCCAACTTTGAAACCATTGCTGAGGCCAGACTGTTGCATCGGCTTGGTGTGGACGCTGTTGGTACGTTCAGTACAGCCACATTTTCATGGAAAAGCTAAAAATTTAAAGTTTTACTTAAGGTTAGCACCGCATGGACAGCCATGAGATCTTTAAATATCAACAAGAGTCATCTTCTGCACAAAAGGAATGAGTTTTGATTCTGTGGAGAACAGGAAAAAAGACAACTTCAGAAAATGGTACCATTGTTATATTTATTATTTAACTAGTGGCACTTTTTGTCAGGGCTGGGTCATATCAACTGCGATAATACTGGTATAAACTTGTACAATATGAAAATGTCATATTGTCACATCATTGTTATATCACACACAGTGTTTATGTTCTATAGTGTGCACAAGAACAAGACAAGCCCCAGCATGTCTGAGAGCAGCACGGACTCAAGCGCAGACTATGAATCACAATAAACAGTTCTTTACTCACACGACACCGAGTGCATTATATACAGGTGGGGAAGAGGGGATCCAGGGAATCCAGAGGTCCACGAGGAAAGACAGGGGAACGGGGTCCTCACTCTCGCACACAGCTCCACACGCTCGCTTCCAGTCAGCTCACTCCACACGGAAAACGCACACGCCACACTGCAACTGCCACACTCATGAACGGGGTCTCAGGACGGGGCACAGAGAATCTCTATACAAAGACAAATTGTCAATACCAAACAAAGCATGAAGAGAAATCAAAATATTTCGAAAACTAAAATTCCACTAACGAATGTTGCACAATAGTCCAGCGACGAAGGACTCACAGCTGCTGCCTTAAGAAGCGGCTGGTAAACAGGATGATGAATCTCCAGGGAGTAATTGCTTGCAGGTGTGAGGACCAGCCCATTATGAGCTTTGCCTGGTGAGATCAGACATCGCCATTTCCGATGTGAACAGAAAACACCTACATGTGTTAGACTGTAAATCTCCCCTAAGGCTCGATTTATGCTTAGTGCCAAGTCCCTAAACCACAGAAGTCTACTCTCTGCACTGGTAAGTGTTGTGGCATTTGTTACAACAACTCTCTTGTTATGCCTGTTTTAAATATGACTCACATCAGCTCTTTGGAACAACTGGAAGCACTCTTGATTTTCCTACATGGCCTTTCAGGATAGTCATTAGATAATGGACATAACAGTTTTAAGGCCAGAGCCACCAAACTCTTGGCAGGTCACAGGTATATAGATTTTACTGATGAAATTGCTTTTTCCCCTCAGTATTAGTTAAGTATTTGTGAGAAGATGTGACCTATATCGATACATGCTTTGTGCGGTCAGCTTTGTATTCTACTAAGAGAAAGATCTTAGAGATATGTGTCCTCATTAAGGATTTGTGTTGATTTGTGGGGTTTTAGTCTCAGATGTATATTGTTAAATGGTGATTATGAGACAGTGTGTTTCAGCTATTTTACAGAGTAAAATGAAAGTAACGAGTAATGAGTTTGTAGAATGAATTACTTCTTCCCAGCACTAAGTAACGTAATGTGTAATAATTACTTTTTTGAGTAACGATTCCAACACTGATCACAACAAAGGTGGGAAATAGCTCAACAAACATGCACAAATATTTGACCCACAACATAATAACAGAATCGGAATCACTAAATTCTTATCAGCTCCCTCCCTGATCCCACTGCACTAAAATCAGATAATCTCACTCCTGTTATCTGCCATCTTAACTAAAATGCTCGCTATTTATAGGGTTGAGTGGGAAAATTTGTTGCAGTAGCATCAGTATTATCATCAGTTGTTTCATCACTAGTTTTAGTAACATCCCCTGGTCTGTTTTGGGGGGTTTTTTTAGGTATGAGTACAGCTCCTGAGGTGGTTGTGGCAACTCACTGCGGTCTGAGAGTCTTTGGCCTCTCTTTGATCACCAACAAGGTAGTACACATCCGAGTCACTGATCAACAACTGATTAGCTATAACTGTGATCATTTACAAAGCTGCAGGCTACAAAAGTAACTCTGTTACAAAGACTCTGTGATATCTCACTTTGCTTCAGGTGGTGAAGAGTTACGAGGACACGGAAAGCGTGAACCACGAGGGCGTCTTGGAGATCGGCCGGCTGCGCTCTCACACCGTGCAGCAGCTGGTGACTGAGCTGATCGACAGGATGGAGATCAATAACAACGACAACCTTAATAAATCTATCTGAAAAACGTACAATCACACAAAAACACATGAAGATTGTGTACATATTTCACTGGTGCATTCACAACATTTTTAGCACTTCTTCCTGTTTTGTTTTGCTGTAATTAAACTTTATTTATATCAACATGGTGCCTAATATTCTCCATCAGGGTAAATCAGAGTGTAAGTATTCTTTTATGATATTTGACTTTAAATCCTAAAACTTTATATACCAATAACCGCTGTGTTTGAAGGTGCTTTAATATGAAAAACATGAGACACAGTTTTCTTTTTGTATTATTGTCTTGCACATTTTTGTTGTAGAATTGTATGTAATGTAAAGTATTAGTAAAGTATGTCACAGATTTCCTGATTGATGTTAATCTGATTAAACAAACTGCCACATCTAACGCTTTCCGTTTCCTACTTATTGTGATTAGCTCGTTTGGGTAGCTGCAGTTCCTCTATTGTCCACTAGATGCTACTGTAATAAACCTGTAAATCAAGGATATTTTACATGACAGGCCACAGGACACATCAAGACCAGATCAGTGAAACTGCCCAGAAGTTTAAATACACATTTAATCCCTGAGATATATTAATTTAAGACAAAGACGCTCAATTTCAACAGTATGTCTGTTTTTCTACATGATAAAGAAATGCTGCTGCTAAATGAAAAACTGGTCCACACAACACATACATTACTATAGCAGATATTGAAAAAACAGGAATGTTTCTGTCATTTAATGTTATTACTTTATTACTTTGGTATACTATAAAAGGCCACGGGGGAGGTTTTTATTAGCAGAAAAAGCTGCAAAAGTTATGGAAATACAGACAAAAGTCCCAAATGTATGCCCTGCTTCACATTTTCCAAAGCCAACCAGTGGGACAGAATGGAGTCTGGCTCCTCATGTTTGACATCCCAGCTCTAAATGAAATGACGTAAACTGGAAACCAGTTTTGCAGAAATAAGATCATAAGATCATCAAGGCCAGGACTTATATTTTGGAACAAGGAGAGTGTTATATATGTATATATATATACATATATATATACATATATATATATATATATATATATATATATATATATATATATATCAGGAAGAAGGAACACGAGAAGCTGGAGAAATACCAAGGGCTCAGAGAAGAGCTCGAGAGGATGTGGAAGGTGAAGGTAACGGTGGTCCCCGTGGTAATCGGAGCACTAGGTGCGGTGACTCCCAAGCTAGGCGAGTGGCTCCAGCAGATCCCGGGAAAAACATCGGAGATCTCTGTCCAGAAGAGCGCAGTCCTGGGAACAGCTAAGATACTGTGCAGGACCCTCAAGCTCCCAGGCCTCTGGTAGAGGACCCGAGCTTGAAGGATAAACCGCCCGCAGGGGCGTGCTGGGTGTTTTTTTTTTTTTATATATGCATAATAAAGTGCAGTAAACCTGGAAATCATCAAGAAAATAAACAGCTATTTGTTGATGATATCAGAATCCTTTTATGGCCATCATAATTATTGTGAACCAAAAGCAGATAAAAACAATTTCACAAAAAGCAAAACTACTTGTAAAACACACAAAGCCTAGTTCACCAACAACTGATGACAAAATAACACGCAAGGTCAGGTTCCAATGCATTACATGTATTTGGCATTTTGTAATAAGGGTAAAAATAGGTATCAACACTCGGCCCACATCACACCAATTCAGCCCTGGCTTTATAACTGAATCAAAACACCCTGCCTGGAGCATGAGTTTTCAGCTGAATAATCCTTCTGCCCTGCTTACTTCGAATGGCTTAACAATGACTCCAGACCAAACATGTGACTCAAACCACTCCAGATACATTCCCCTTTAAGCTCTAATCATTTTAACCAGAAGAACACTAGTCAAAGGGAGTACACAGACCAATGTAAAAAAAAAAAAAAAAAAAAAAGGAAAGGAAAGGAAAAGTTACTTTATGATTATGAATACTTTATAAAAGAGGTTAACAGATTTTGAATGCAAGTTCGCCATCAAGCAATTCTCTGCTATGAGTCAGTTGGTTTTAGTTTTCATTTAGTGAATCTTTTCATGAAACTGGGATAAAGGTACAAAGCTGTTTCTCATTTCTGATGTTTTGGTATTTGTATGTTCACACCTGCACTAATAAACTACACCCGTGTGTGTAATTCAGCCAAATCACAGCTTCTTTTATTGCAATAAAAACAAAAGCCAAAAACTACAACAAGTGCTCCAAAAATTTGCAAACAGTAACACGTGGAGACTGCAGTATGCCTTGGAGTCATGTTTTTTTTTTTCATGTTTTCACATTAGCCATGTGCAGATTATCATTGTCACTAACCATGACTATCAGAAGAGTCCTGGCCTGGGAATGTTTACTTTCAACTTTCTAAGAATGGCACAGTTTCATTTCTAAGCAACAGAAAAAACTTCAGTTGCAGAATACCAACAACGGACATTGGTACGTAAACAGATTAGCAGAAAATGCTTTACAGCAGTGACTGATATGTGTACATGTGATAATATATTTATTTTAAACTAGATTACAAGTGTAGAAGTGTGCATTGTTCATCAAAACAACTACAGGCTATTAGTGGCTAGTGAACTAAGACTGTAAAGTGTGTCTCCCCTCTTACTGCTGCCTGTGACTGAAGCATCTTTGTATGTTTTTCATCGTGTCTTTGCTTTCTTTTCAGTCACATTGATGCTTTTGTCACCATTAAAATTTTATACATTTTCTCATGAGGATGAAATTGATAGCTTTAAAAGAGGAAAGGGAAAAAAATTACTTTTTTCCCATAAAAAAGTAATTTGGGGCATAGATTCCTTAAACAGAATAAATCTTTAACCAAAACACCCTAACATAAGGCCTTCAGGTGAATCAGATGATCTTCATCACCAGATAAAGTGTCGTCACATGTCATGAAAAATTGTAGAGCTTTCTGATTTTAGGGCTTTTTACATTTAGTCCTAAGAATTAAAGATCTAAAAAAATGTTCATGTTCAGTGTTATTCTACCTTTTCTACCTCTCAAACTGTTGTTTAGTGTGGAGATCTGCATCACATTGCTGCTGCCTGCTTTCCAAATATCGCCATGACAGTGCCTGAGCAGGTGACCTACGAAGTCTTCTGTTTATCCCTGGCAGCTCTAGTGCTGGCTGTGATTGAGCTCCTGCTGCTCTGTTGCGTCCTCAAACAAATCAGAAACAGGTAAAAGCAGCTGCCTCATAAAAATCAGCCGCTCAATTCTGCAATTCAGAGTTATTTAGATTTACACTGAACTACTATTCTTCTATGTTTATTTTAGAGGTCACTTTAAACCTTCAATTATCAATAATCTCTGGTGTTTTTAGCGTGGTTCTTTTTGCAAGAACATATGTTTGTATAAACTGCTTTGATACAACTTTGGCATTGATTTTAACATTTCAGATTAGCCAAACTCGCTCTCCTACTTTTGACAAAGGCACAATTCAATTCAATTCAATTCAGTTTTATTTATATAGCACCAAATCACAACAACAGTCGCCTCAAGGCGCTTTATGTTGTACAGTAGATCCTACAATAATAGATACATAAGACACTAGAGTCTTTGTATGTAATATTACAACTACCATGCTAAGCATTAAAACCACAACACTGGCTGACTTAATTCCCAGTTAGTGCATTTCTTACAATGGTGCAGCTAGCTCTAAACAGGAGTCATAGGAGTATTACAGTGTAAATAAGATTCATAAATCTCTGTTAGACCCAAAGTATGTGACTGCTTATAACTGAGGTGGCAAACAGGAAATTTAACCCATGGTCTTTAAAGGACACATAACAGAGAGATGTGGCTACTATGGCTACCTGCTCCCAACCAAGTTATATGTTCAGCATAATTTATCATGGATATTTAGCCAGGTAAAAGGATAAAAACAGCCATTGTTGCGACACTTTGACTTTAAACTTGACATGGCACACAAAGACATCCCATTGTAGTACATATGGCTATCGACATGATTCGTGTGTCACAGTTGAGCCTATGTCCCAGCTACTGCAGTTCCAGCACAAGAGCTGTTGTATGAAAATGCTGTTACTTAGACCAAATTATAATTTCAGCTTTGATTATGATCACTTGTTATTTCTAACAATACCCAGGTCTTTGTATTGAAACTGGATTGCACACCTGGTGAGGATTTGTTTGGATCTGTGTGTCTGCCTTAAATTCAATAACATGTGACATTGCAGGCAGCATTTATCCCTTCAGCGCTCACACTGAGGCCGAGCCTTAGTCAGAAAATGAATAGCCCTGGTAAGTAGGGCAGCCTGACATTAATTCAGCAGATGTAATGGTTGACCCAAGCATGACCAGTCTGGTGACGTCAGTCTTTGGCTTGCATACTGGAGATGTGTAGACACTTCAAGACTTGTTGAGGTGGTGCAGTGGTTTCCTCCCACAGTTGAGGAATCTAAACTGAGACTGTCTCGTTCTATGTGTTAGCCTAACTGGTGATCTGCTCAAGTCTCAGGCAAACCTTTCATCAGATGGGGTAGGCTCCAGCTTACAGCAGCCCTCTGCAGGATAATGCCAGTATATCGAATGGATGGATATTAAATAGATTTAAGTATTTGGTTAAATGATATTTTAGGTTAAAATTATGACTTTTAAAGGAAATCTCCTCTGCTGTTGGTCAGTTTTTCCCAGGCTGGTTTACTAGCGTAAAAATGAATGAAAGTAGTGAAGTTAGTGAGCCCATGTTTTCTCAAAATGATTTTCCCTTTACAATGAATGTTTTATAACCTTTTTTATAGTATCTTACTGTTGGTATTACTGGATAATATAGTCCAAATTACAAAAATCTGTTACATTACAGATACCAACATGGAACTGACTCAAGGGGCCATAAAGGTCTGGCTGTCTGTTCAGTGGAAAAAAAAGGACCCAAAAAGTAACTTTGAGCAGTGATTAGTCTCTCCCATATCCACTGACCTTGCTGTGTGTTAAATAGCCTCTTACTGGATGGCAGGATTCAAGGAGAATATGAAGGTGTAATTACCCTTCAATGGGATTTTTATACTAGTATAGTCTGATTGGATGGATCCAGAGGACAGAGCTAGTTCTTGTGTTTCTTTTTCCAAGATGAAACAAATTCTCTCATTCAGACCTTAGGGAATATAGCTACAACGATGTAGAGACCACAAATATTGATCATCTCATTAGGTGTAAAAAATCGGTTGGATCTGATTCCTCAGAAACATCACCGAGATGCAGATCTCAGCAGAACAACCTAGTCGTAAACTGACTGTCAGAACCAAGCCCGACCATGCAGACCAGCTGCTGGACCACCTGCTGGACAGAGTGTTTCTCCAGGGGAATGCAGGACTAGCATCTGGAGGAGAATCCCCAGCGGACGTTGAATCACAAACTGGAGGAGAATTCAAGAAGGAAGTTGGATTAGAACCTCAGAAGAACCTTAGAGAAGGATCTGGATCATACCCAGAAGCTTCAACATCCACTTCTCATCCTCAAAGAGGTAAGTGTTACCAAATTCACTTCACTTTTTCATTGTCATAAGTAGTTAATATGCAGTCCAGAAATATAAATACATTTTAAAAAATGATAATTACGTTTAAAAAGTCAGGAATATATGTTTAGTCATCTGAACAACACAAACTAAAATGTGTCTCAAAGTCGAGCTGAAACCCCAAAATAGCTTCAATAGTCCTGAAATAGGCATTTGAACTGGCATGCAGTGAATTAAGTCAGACTGAATTAAATCTGTGATTTGGTGTAGTACAAATACTGGTTAATTTCTTCCAGAGTTTTAGTTGTTCCTTATTGACAGTGTGGAAGCATCGCCACCTCCTGTAACTAAAGGGAACTGCAGATTTTACAGTTCTGACTAATCTGGAAATACATACTGAAATGCTTCAGATAAGAAATGAATTTTGACTGAAGACTGATCCAGATTGTTCTCTCGTGCAGCTGTGAATCCTCTTCATAACAGACTGCAGCAGTGGTTCCAGGTGACTGCTCCTGGTCAACATGAGAAAAAAAGACATTTCAAAAGTTTGTATGAAATCCAAATTACATAAATCAAAAACTCAGCTGTTATTATATTTCCACATATTAAGTGTCATTTATTCATATGCTTATTTTTGCTTTAATATCCTTCACTCCAGCTGCATCCCATCAAACATCTTCTGTGGATCAAACCAACAACACGTACTCGCAGCAGTCCCATGAATCCCAGCATGGCTCTTCCTCATCTAAGGGTCCTTCATCCACTGCATCCTCAGAGGAAGACAAGTAGCACGATGGGACAGAAGATCAGAAACACAAACACTGATCAGATTCTGAAAGAATCTGTCAAATAAAACAGCAGAGCATATAACAGTCATGTTGGCGACCTCACTAACACGCAGCATTAGAGGAAAAATTCTTGTTCTTTACTGAAGTTAAAGGAGTTACACCAAAATCTATAAATATCAGTTGTCTTTCTTTTAAAATGATCATTTAGAAAACTAATTTGGAATAATGTACAGCAGTATTAAAGGTGCCGAGTACAGAAAAGTGAGCATGGTATACAGTTATACATAAAATATGGTCAAATATGATACCAATTTTTGGGATAAATAAAGTTGGTAAATTTCTGTGTTACAGCAGCCAAAACGTTAAGCGTAACCTAGCACACTAAATCATAATCTAAAAAGAATACAATAAAAACTAAAGTGTGACTAAAATACATTAATGCATTTTAAATACAATAATGATGAGATCATTATCACTTGTAAATCAATGTGTGTGAATGTATCTGAAGCATAAACGCAGCATGGAAATGTTGTCCTGGGTTTCGGACACACTGAGTTTTCTTGTTCTGTCTCTTCCCCATGTTAAGTTTACTTTTACATCTGTGATTCTCTGCTTAGTTTTCGTTGCTTACTTCCTGTTTTACTTTATTAGTCAGTCGTCTTGTGTTTTTAATTATCTGTTATCATCGTTTTGTGTTTGCTGACATGGAATTATCTGGATTTTTTTTGCCATTTCAGTTTATGGATTTTGTAACTCTGGGCCCTGAACTACAAAGCAAGTTCAACATACCAAGGGTATATTTCCATTATCTGTATCAACTGGCATTAACACTGGCAATCGCTATAAGCAGTCACATGAAACTATTATCAGCTTGCCAAGGCAACCCAGGGTTTTTCCTGCATATTCTCATGAAAGGGGCGGTGTTGCAGTGTCTGATCATTTAGAAGGGGCATTTTCTGGAACAGATGACTTCTCCTACACAGAAACTGTGTAACACAGAAACCTCTCAAGAAACTTCCAGTTGCTTTTCGTTCCAAGCTCCTTAGATTACTCTGACCTGGATGACTGAGAACCTCCACAGACAATGTGATGAATGCTGCAGAAAATCATTAATCTGGTGATTTAGCACACAAAGTGATAACAATTTAAATTCAGCTTAATTAGCCACTACGCTCTCTATGTTACTGTTTCTTTCTAAGGTGACAGACCCATTTAAACACTGAAGCTTAAATAATACTGCCCCACAGTTTAATAAAGGAGTTTGTCAGCATAGCCACCTTCTGACAGTTTTAGTTTTTATTCTCCCAGCTGCAGACTCAGAGATGTTTAAGGGTTTGGAAGATTATTTACAATCTGTTTTTTATATTTACAAGTTGGTCTATGTACAAATTTGATGTGAGATGAGCAAGTACAGGATAGGTGTCATACTTTAAGATGCTTATAGAAGAATACAACTATTTTTAAATTGTTTGCTCCAAATAAATATAACAAAGTCAAATAATAAAGAGAATCTAAGCTCCAGGGAGGCAATATAAATTGCCCCCTAAACCTAATAACAAGTTTGGTCACCCTTAGCAGCAACAGCTGCAATCAAGCATTACTGGCAATGAGTGTTTTACAGCACTGTGGAGGAATTTTGGGCCCACTCATCTTTGCAGAATTGTTGTAATTCAGCCACACTGAAGAGTATTCGAGCATGAACTGACTTTTTAAGGTCATGCCACAGCACCTCAAGCAGATTCATTTCAGGACTTTGACTAGGCCACTCCAAAGTCTTCATTTTGTTTTTCTTGAGCCATTCAAAGGTGGACTTGCTGGAGAGTTTTGGATCATTGTCCTACTGCAGAACTGTTACGGATTCAAATATTGGGGATGGATACAAGAGGAAAAACCAAAATAACAACACTGGTCCGGCCGGGTTGAGTCAAACGATGATTTTAATGATCACACTCGTGGGAGATGGACACCGTACGCAGACAGCATCAGATCTCAAAATGGTGGAGCATTGATCAAACTCTTATAGCCTCTAGTGGCCCCCACCTAATCATAAAAGCCTAAACATTCACATTCTTTCTCTCACACGGCGCCTAAGCTACGACCTTGGCTCCCTGTTTATCTGCTCCTGCTGAGATGTGGCAGAAAACTCCAGTATGTTCTGTTCTCTTCTAATCAGACAAATAAGGCGATGAATTTCTGCGAACAGTATTTCTTATAACTCAGCAGTATAATGCATCATAAAACAATATCATTCATTCACAATAAATCAGCAGTCTAATGTAATACAGTTTAACAAATGTAATAGTTATCACCTTCTAATTCAGGAGAATAATGCAAACTCAAACTACATAATAATTCAATCTTTAATTAGGGGTCTAACATGGCATAAAATAATATTATAATCTCACAGAACCCAAGTGCGCTTCAGCTTGAGGTCACAAAAAGACAGCTGGAAATTGTTATTTCAGTAATTACATTATATGTGGCATAGTATGACAATGTTTGAGACAGGACAGGCAGGTAAGAAAAAGGAAAGGGGGGAGAAAATGGGGAAAAATATAATAAATGGACAGAGCACAAATACAAATAGACATGTAGAGTGTATCACCAACTGCTGCACCTGTAAGAAAAAAAACAAGCATACAGCATGTCCACCCTAGCAGGAGAAGCAAGGACGCCCCAGATGGGCCACACTTGGACAAAGCTTCAGAGTCCCAGAGGACTAGAAGCAACAGGCAGTCGACCCCGCTAGAGACTGGCCACCCTGGTACAAGCCGAGAACAGTTTTTAGTTTTTCTTTTTGCTATATTTACTATAATTTGATTTTCACTGTGCAACTGAAGAAACATATTTAAAAACTCTCCGCTGCTTGACTTCCTCTGACCATGTGGTGGCAGCAGAACTCAATATCTGACTTACTACTAATACTCATACTACTGTCAGTGAAACATATGTACAGCTTGTTTAGTGGAACTAATCTACATGTATACAGACTCTATCTGGAATTTTCGTTAACCAAAGGAAAGGAATTTAGCCAAACAATTCAATATGATAAACAAAACGCAGCTTTAAACTTACAAATGAAAGCAGAAAAACATTCAACATGTTTCACTTTGTCTCCCGGAAATGTTTGATGATTACTTTAAGGTTTACAAAATGTCTCACATAGGATGATTTCAAAGTATAAGGTTAGGATCACTGGGCAGTAACTGTTATTTGACATTTGGATTAGATTTTTACAAAAGGAAAGAAATTAAAGTTAGCTTTATTGTCAGCTCCAATATGAAGAAAATTGTAGAAACATAGAAATAAAAAATACAAAAACCAAAATACACAAAGTAAAATAAGAAACTTAAGACAAGAAAATGCCATAAAAAAAACTGTGTGTAATAGAGTGAGTTGTATATTACAGGTATGATAATGTCCTTAATGTATGTTACCATTTACGGTAAATGTTTGGTTTTTTTCACATTCTGCAAATAAAAGAGACAAATTGATATGAATCGGCTGTCCACTAAACCTCTAAACCTTGCAGTGCAGGCCTGTCGCCCTCTACAGATTTTCAGTAAAGGAGTGCAAATCGAGCTCTCATAAGAGCTTAAAAATCAGGGTGATAAAATGAACCGTATGTTTGTTCTAACATAAACTTCATTTCCTACTAAATAGTTTTATCTCTTTTTTAGGTTGTGATAGATGTACTTTATTTGCTTTTACAGCTAGTAGCTCTTCTTTAAGAGTTCCCAGTAACTCTTGGAACTTTAGTGGATTATTTTTCTGTAACTTTGAAACTGAAACAGAGTTTTAAATGACAAAGAGGTGTCTTAGTTAAGTAAACATTTTGACAAGATAGCACGTATTTTCCTATTTTTTTATGCCACGTCTTTATTTCCATATTTTCATGAGCATTATCAAGTGTGACGATGTTGACGCTAGATTCCGTTTCATCTCAATATAAGCATAAACTTAAAAAGCCTTTAACATTGTGCTTATAGGAAATCATATCTCAGCCTCTATGAGACAGATTTATGTCATGCAAACTTTTTATTTACATATCACAAATCAGTGTCAGAAGGACATGAGACACATGACTGATGATCAGGCCATATAACAAATTCCCGGACCATGCTTAACAGTAATGATGGCTGGGAAACCCAGTTTAAAATAATCCAGACTGCACGGCATATCACTGCTGTGGGGCAGTCTCAGCACACAAACCCTCTGTATGAAGTGTAATAAAATCTAGAACATGCATATTTTTTTTTAGGATTGTTCAAAGATCTAAAGCTTCTGAAAAGAAGTTAAAAAAAACATATTGACATGGTGCAGTTTGCACATGCCCTCCATCCACTGTATACTGTCATTCGATGTGGCTAAAAATAATGTTTATTTAATGTTATAGTAATTTTTTTTACATAGCTAGACTGGTGATTCAATACTGGACCTCCCGGTATGTACCCATAATGGACGATTTGTATTACAAGATTCTGAGAATTCTTCCCCTGGAAAAACTGACATTCACCTTAGAGGACAATATTGAGGGATTTAATTAAATCTGGCAACTGGTGGTGGATTCAATCGACCTCTCTGGACTGGAATTTTGTACATGGTCTGATGTGACTAAGTCTGGCCATTGACTTCAAAATGGGGCACTTCGTCATTGGGGTACTCTGCTTTGTTGTGTACATCCATAGAATCTGCACAACAGGTTAATTGATATCCTGCTGTTTTTAGTCTGAACTGTTAGATTTTTAGTGTTTATTTGTTGATTGTTGGTAAATTTTCCTTTTAAAAGGAGAAGGTTAATAGCCACAACATAAGGAAAGGTTGTACTGTATAAAGCAAGTCTATTATTTTGATAAAAGCCTGCAAATTAAATTTGTTTTTTAAAGCCCTTTAAAGGCTTTTTGTTTTTAAAACAAGTGGAAACACTGAAAGCTTTCAACCAGCTCATAAAACTAATGATGGCATGAGTCTTCTATGAGCTGTCTACACCTGATTAAAGCCAGATGCAGTTCTCAGCGGATGGCAAAATCAAAAAGAGGGGGTAGAAAGGTAGAGTTGTTTTGGTCTCAAATCAGAAATCGATTAGAT